GCAGGGCTGGTGTTGCAGGGCTGGTGTTGCAGGGCTGGTGTTGCAGGGTCAGTCTGCTCTTCGGTTCCTCTTGGAAGGGGTGAGTGCAGCATGTGCTCGGAGCAAAGTGGGATTTGACTTCTCCCATCACGGCCTTGAGTTCCCCATTGAGTTCCCCATTTTCCCCTTGAGTATCCCAAAGCTGCACTTCTGTTTGTTGCTGTTGGTTTTCTTTTGATGGCACTGAATGCCACAGCCGTCCCCTCCTTGCTGAGAGCAGGATGCTGTTCTTTGATTTCTCTTTAAAAGCAAATGAGAAGTTATGTTGTTAGGAATACTTGAGGACTTTTTATTTGCCTTTCTAAATCTCAGAGATACCATTTCTTGCCCTGGAATACCTCATTTTTCCCAGTTACCCAACTCTTGCTCAGCTTGTTGGGATTGAAGAGGATTAATGTTCCCAACTGAGGAATTCCTGGCAGGTGGGAAATGCTGCCCTGTGGGGTGCATTTTGCTGAGAAGAAATATATTTAGAAAAATAGTCTTCAGTCCTTTAAGCGACTGTGGATGTTTCTCCTTTGCATTCTGACAGCATTATGGTCAAAATATCTCTGGCCCATGGCAAAGCTCTGCTCTGGATTTAGTCACCTTTAAGATATACCCTTCTTTCTGAGCAGTTCTGATGTCTAAACCATGCTGCAATCTGAGTGGGCTGCGTTTGCTCTTTTATTGAAGAACAGGGTGTAAATGATGACGTTTTATTGGGATTATTAAAAATAATGATGATAATAAACCAACAGTTCCTGCAAGAGCACTAGGAGATTCTCCAGCCCTGAATGCAGCACTGCCCTGCTTCCCTGGGCTATGAGAGTGGCAGAGGTGTGGAAGATGTGGATACAGAATGACACCTCAGGATTCTACCCAGAGGTCCGCTTCTGATGCTTTCAACTTTTTTGGTAGCAAGGCAAATGTGAACAAGCAAGCAAACAGAATGCAAGAAGCCCAATGACTGTGTCATCACTCTCCCCTGGCATATGTGGGAGCTGCAGCCCTGGACAGGTATCCATACTTTCACATCTGCCTGCAAATGTAAGCTTTACTTGTAATTAATTAAGAAGCCAACTTGTTGCAGTGCACTGTCCCACTGTTGGCTGTCCCCAGGATCCCACAAACAGGAACGTGCCAACAAAAAGTAGCGTGGAGGGGAAAGTTGCATTCTGCTGTGCGAGCTGTGTTCAGTCCTCTTTCCAATAGAAACCATCTGGACAGCGGTCTTGTTTTGTGCAGTAATATTCTCATAAGCTCCCACTGTGCTTGAGTGTCTACCAGCAAGTTTTTGGTCGAGGTCTCCAGCAGCATAACAACATGAAGTGACGTCTGGTTCAGCCCCCCTGGCTCCTTGCTCTGTTCTGCAGCCTTGGCTGAGCTTTGTTGTGCCTGCCATGTGTGCTCAGCATCTGCTTGTTCCTGGGCAGGGGCATCCTTTGCAAGCTCACATGGCTCTTCCCCTGCAGGATGCCTGCAGCTACAGGATGCTGCTAAGGGCTGAGGTAGAAGCCATCTCCGATCAGGGCACGGTTTCAGAAATGCTTTCTGGTTAAGATGGGCTCTGTAGCACCCTAAATCTTTTCAGAAGAAGCCACTTGTCATCGGCTGACTGGAGCTTCTAACGGATTGATGCTTTAATTGCAGAAGCTATGTGACAGAGTGTTACAATTTACGGCTGGATGGAGAGCAATTCAGATCTGTCTATTTCTGGCACTTGGAAAAAAAATTATTTGCAACCTCACTGAAATAAAAATATGCTATTTTCTGAAACCCTAACAGCTGAAAGTTGGTTTTTTCTTTCATTCTTTTCTTCACCAGCAGCTTTTCAGCCCCGTTGGCCCTTGGAGGCACTGCATGCACTGCTCCTTCCCAAGGTTGCTCTCTCTCTTGGGGCATCGTGGGGCTAAGGTTATGTGGCTGTGATAATTGGCCCTCCAGTCTTACGGATGAATATGGAGTTGTGGGTGCATGCTGTATGCCCAAATAAGCAGCTTGCCATTGTAAGCAGCAGAGGAATAAAGAAATAAAGAGGATCTTTCAGATTAAAGTTTCAGTGTACAGAGAAATGGAAGTACCTTCTCCCCTCTGTTCTTTCACTCTGCTGTAGGCACCCGGTGCAGTTTGGTTCTCAATGCATAGGTCAGGCAGTCACACTTTCCTAAGGGCATGGAGGCATCTGAAGCTTTGGTGCCATCACATCTGTTGCAGTTTCTACAGATGTGGGCTGTCAGCCCACCTTGCTGCTGTTGGTGCTGTACCTGCACCAGAAAACAAAGCTTAAATACAAGATGCATTGCTTTTTTCCATATAGTCTCAAGTAGCAGCAGCAGCAGCTACTTTGGCAAAGGCTACTTTGTTCTGACAGCTTAAAATAGGTCAGTGCTCAGCCAGAAACCTCTCAAAGCCAGCATGGGAAAGTGTGTATCCGGCATAGGCATCCCTTCCCAGGAAGTCCCTGGTGGGCTCCCCACAGACCTGTGCTCCTCTTGCAGTGCTGGGCAGCACTTGGAGGTGTTTTGGAAAGCAGCCCCCTGACTGCTGTTTCTCATCTGTATTTATTATTACACTTCCTGATTTATTATTCAAAGGCTGTGATTACTTTCCCTTCTCTCTTTTAGCTGCTGCTGAAGCTTTGTTGCCTATATAGTAAGAAAGGCAGTGGTGAGCACTAGCAGGCGTTTTGCATCCTCAGTGCGTTCAGTGGTGAGCGTTCGCTGCTCTTGTGCAGTGCTGTGCCTGGCCCTGCAACTCCAGCCCTGCCTTTCCTTTTGCTCTAATTACTTTGAACAATGTATAGAGAGCAGGCTGTCATTTTAGGCCTGCTGTATTTGGCCATATAGATGCAGTCTCCTGCTAGCAGCTTTCCCCTTTGGTGGGGGAAGGAGGCAGTGCCCCTTACTGGGCTGTAGGGCTGCACTGGGAGCGTGTGGTGGCAGTGGGTCATTGCCAACTGATAGGGGCTCCCATCTGTATTTAAGAGAATGTGCCTGGTGTGGTATAAATGCAGAGGTTGGTTGGTGACCCTGCCTGTGGCAGGTTGGAGATTGATGATCTTTGAGGTCCCTTCCAACCTGGGCCATTCTGTGATCTGGGATTCTGTTTGTATGGATGATAAGGGGACTGACTGTTACGGTAGGTTACATAGAAAGTATGTTTCTGTGCTGCAGGATATAAAGCAATTCAAGGGAAAAAACAAAAACAACCATTTGAAAGACGTAATGCTGCCATGGTTCTTTGGAACAAAGGTAGAGAGAAAAACTTCAGAGCTTTGTAGAGAGAAAGATGTGTATCTTCAGTCTGTTGCTAGAAATGCGATGACTTGGGAATTATTTGTTCATAGAACGACAGAAAATCTCAGGTTGGAAAGGCTGCCTTTGGCTCTACACACACTGAAGCACGTGGCATGCCATGCTCAGGATGCTGTGTGGAAGGAGCCCACCCTGCAGGTCATGCCTTATTCCTCCCAACGCACTGTTACATTCTGCTTCATTGTGCTGGTTTTCCTTCATAGCATTGCACAGCCTTTGTGTTGCCCTGTTGGAGTAGCTTTTAATAGTGTGATTTTGCCACTTTTCTGCTCTTGAAGAAAAGAATGGTGCTGTGTGTGAGTGGCAGCGCGCAGCAGGGAGGGAAGTGCTGCACAATGATGCTGCATTTACAGGGAGGGCTGGCTCTAACAAGCCCTGTGATACCTTAATTGTGTCTGATGTGACCTAACCCCTGCCAGTCCTCAGTCTGAGGTTGTCAAACAGGGTTTGAAATCTATAAAGGTGTTTGTACAGTGCTGCAACCGAGCTGGATGTGACTGCATGGCTGTCAGTAAGGTAGCAGAGGCATTCTTTGGAAGTGGAGAGAGATTTTTCTTTTTTTAATCTTTGGTTACAGTAGAGCCATATATTTCTCTATATTTCTATATTTAGCCTTGTGCTAGAAGCAATGTGTAATAAATAAACCCACCAGGTAGAATTAGGAAAGGTGTTAGCATATTTTAAAAGCATCTGTATCTGACTTGGGCTGGGGGTTCTGTTTCTCCGGTTTGTTCTTAGCAGTGTGATTTTCCTTCCAGGGCTCAGCAGATTCGTACACAAGCAGACCCTCAGACTCTGATGTGTCTTTGGAAGAAGATAGGGAAGCAATCCGCCAGGAGAGAGAGCAGCAAGCAGCGATACAGCTTGAAAGGGCAAAGGTGCTTTCTTTTAAACTGTAGCAGCAACTGGTTATGGGGCATTTGTCATTTGCCTGGTGTTAAGATTCAAACTGTTGATTTATATTGGTGATGGCATCTTTTGAAGTATGTTTTGCAATCAAGTGAAATTTCCTGCAACCAAAATTGGGGGGAATATAGTGTAAATATTCTTGTATAAATGGGGATCTTCTTTAGGGAACTGAACTCTCTGTTTCACTAGTTGTGTGAAACTATCAGGTCTGAATTTTGATGTATTTGGCAAATACCCTCCACTAAATTTTTGGCAATTTGATACAGAAAATTAATTCCTGATTCAGAAAAGTTTCCACTGTTGATAATGTCTGTTTCTGTTTGCAGTCCAAACCAGTAGCATTTGCTGTTAAGACCAATGTGAGTTACTGTGGAGCACTGGATGAAGATGTCCCTGTCCCAAGCACTGCCATCTCTTTTGATGCGAAGGACTTCCTACACATTAAAGAGGTAAAAACGTGTGGCAGTTATTCCCTTTAAGAAGCCAGGGGCTGCACTTGGAGCAGTCATGTCTGAACTGAAGTGGAGAAAACTGAAAATGGACAACCGAGCAGGAACAGGAGAGTACAGCACACACATGGGATTAGTGGTGCTGTGATGGCACTTCATTCTTTCCACAGTTGAAATCAAGTTTGAGATGGATCTGATGTAACACAAAGGGGTTCTGTTGGTCAGGGTGTTAAGTAGCAGCAGTTTACACCTGGTCTTTGTGGAAGGCTTGTGGGGGAACGAGGCAGAATAATAGAAGAATAAAAGAAAATGCTGACGAGGCTGCAAGACAAAAATCTGTTAAAATAAGGAAAAAGGAATGGGAATAAACAAGCCCTGAATATGGCTTTTGTAGAGGAAAGTACTGTTATTGCATGTTGAGCATATTTTCTGCAATTAGTTATCTGAAGTGAGCCCTTCAAATTTGCATAAACTCCTGTTGTTTTGTAGATTTGTTTTTAGACTTGCTGCTTGCAAATATGTTTTTTTAACCTCTACGTTCCGTGTGTTTATTTTTGGGTGTTCAGTATTAATTTTTCCCTTTCTTTGAACGTTAGCCCATCATTGCTTCAAAGCTCTCATCTCCCCGAGTCTGAGCATATTTGGGAGGGAAACACCTGCTGCTTCATCTCTGGAGGCAGAGATTGGTGGTAGAATGGGGGAGTTGTGCTTGAAGTTCTTTGTCCCTGGGCACAGGAGAGGCAGTTGATTTGCGTGTTCCCTTTTCTAAGTTTGCTGGAAGCAGATGGAAGTTTGATTTTTTAAAAAAAGCATTATTTTATTTTTAGTTGGTTTCGTTGTATTGTTTAGTGTGATTGTGTTTTGTTTTTTTTTTTTAATATATTGATGTGGAACAGTCTTTAAACAGTCTTCCATGTTGAGAAAGCAGAGCACTGTGAAGTCTGACTCTGCCTCTCTCTGTGTAGAGTTGCTTTTCCCCTGTGCTGCATGCCCAGGAATGTGCTCCTTTCTATCTGGTACCACACCTGAGCTCTCCTTCCTGAACCCATCTTGAAACTTTCTCCCCTCAGGAAAATGTCCTTTGCTGCACTCAGAGCAGAGCTGGCTGCAAACAGCTGCACTTGTTACAGCAGAGATCACTTGTCACTGCCTTCCCTGACATGTTCCCTTTCACACCAGGAGTGTACCGTACCTGGCTTGCTGTCTTTCTCCTTTGCACGTTGCAGCTGTTCAGGTAGCTCTGTGCATCAGCATTAGCACAGTATTTGCTCTTGGTTTCCCAGCATGTGGCTGCATTCATTGTCCAGCCTTGAATGTGCTAAGCTCCTGTCCGTGCTGCCCTGTACATTTTTCATGAGGTATGTCACAAGTCCGTGTTATGGCTTTCTGTGAGCATTCCTCTGAGATCCAAATGGCCAGGATCACACTCCCTCCATGCATAAACCATCTGGCTTTCAGGTGTTCACCTGCCCTGCTAGGAGTTCAGCATTTCTTTGTTGACTCTGAAGCCTTCAGCCTGCCTGAAGCTGTAACTCAGTACGATTTGGGGAATGGTTCATGGCAAAAGGCTTTGCAGAATTCATTTTCCAGTGATCTGATGGGTTTCCCTGGACAGGAATAACCATGATTTAGATTAGATCCAGATCTTAGAATAACACCAAACTAGGTAGAAGTCAGGTCGCCCTGCTGATGAGATGAAACATCAGCAGTAACAGACGAGTTGCTATATTGAGAGTGTGTCCTGCATGTCTCCTACAAGACTATACGTTACGTGCTTACTTCAGAGAAGTGCAACAGCCATTGACAATATGGAAGACATTATGGGCATGGCAACCAGTAGGAATGAATTGTAGTCCTCCCACATGCTGAATGCAGAGAATAGCTTATGGAAGGTAATGATCTAATGCAAATAGCCCTGCTTCCCTTACTGCATTGTTATCGGTTGTGCTGTTCAGTTCTTCTCAGCATAACCCTGATTCTGATCTCTTGTCTAGAGGTGTCATTCAGAACTCCACGTCTTGCTAGTAGAAGAAAAGTTCCCATGTTCAAGACACACGTTTGGAACCAAAATCAAATAGTTAATCCTCAGAGGGCTCTGATTTGAGAGTCATGGCATCACAGAGTGGTTTGGGTTAGAAGGGTCCTTAAAGCCCGTTCAGTTCCATCCCCCTGCCACGGCCAGGGATGCCTCCCACTGGTCCGGGTTGTCCAGAGCCCCCTCCAGCCTGGTTTAAACCTGTTCATCAGAAACAGCTTATGCTCCTTGTGTCTCCATCACCCTCAGCCCCAAAGTTGTGATATCAGAGGATAAGTCACAGCAGGATGTTTTGGAGCAGTTCAAAGACAGTTACCTTCACTGAAATTTACTCAGACTGTCCGCTGTTCAGACTTCAGTTCGAGTCCTGTTTTATCAGCCGGTACGGAGTTGAGAATTGCAGATAAGATAATAGGGAGTTCTGGATATGAAGCAAGGCCAGAAACCTTTCTGTGTTCCAGAAATACAATAATGACTGGTGGATAGGGAGGCTGGTGAAGGAGGGCTGTGAAATTGGTTTCATTCCAAGCCCGCTTAGACTGGAGAATATCCGCATCCAGCAGGAGCAGAAGAGAGGACGTTTCCATGGAGGGTAAGGATGCTGTAACCTTTTAAAATAATTTGAAATCTTTTCTCACACTGGACAATATCTTTCAAAGGTCACTTGATTCTTTTTTATTGCAGTATGTATGAATGAGTGTTTGATTTGGGATTCCAAGCAAAAAGATGTGCTTGCAGAGGGTAGGCATATTAGATGTTGGCTGTGAGAAGGAAAAAATGTGTCTTGGCTTTAGAAAAGAGAAGTTATACATTGTGAGTGGTAACACTCAAAGTTTCTGAAGGGAGAGAGAGTTGTGTCAAGTCAAACCTTTGGTGCTCTCTCATATTGGCAAGGTTGTGGGATTTTTCTTTTTTTTCCCCCTCTCCATTTTTGCCCAAACCATAGAGATGATGTTTTGCATTCGACTTCCTTTCCTCTTCATCTTCCAGCCTGGCCCTTCTACCTTTCCACACTGCTGCATCTGGAGATAGCAAGGCCTGGGAGAATACAGGCTTGTGTGCAGGACTGGGGAGTAAAACTTGTTGCTCCTGGTCTCAGTTTGGATATTGAAGTATCTCTCTTCTGTAGGCTGAATAATGGCTAACTCTTTTCTCTTGGGAGCGGGGAGATTATTTTGCTACTACCACATTATTCCCACTAATTGAAATTGAAATGTAGATAAGAAGGAACAAAAAACTGTAATGGAGGAGGGAAAAGAAGGGTGAGCCAAATGATTCTAGGCCTGATAGTGAGCAAAAAGGGAAGCACGATTTCACCTGTGTAGCGCTGTCAGGGAATTAATGCAGTTAATCAAGGTTGGGAATCATCTCAAGTGTAAGCCGTCTAAGGAGGTGATTTTTGGAGTGATTGAGCAGCACGAACTGAGCTTTATTTCAAATTGATTTTACAGTTTCTGAGAGGGGTTCACAGAAACCAGTGTATTTCAGTGCATGGAAGGAGGGGTACCACGTGCAGGAGCTGCTCAGGATAATGATTCATACGTAACATATTAGCTGAAGAGTTCTCTGCTGGTGTGAGTGGACGTGACTCCACTGCAACAATCTAATCTCACCTGCAGAGAATACTGGGAATAAAACCCACTCTGAAACAGGAGAAATATTGTAAAATAGGACAACATTGAGATTTTACATAGTAAACAGACCCAGAAGTGTTAACACAGACCAAACCTAAAGAGGTTTTTATGTCCTTGAATGATGAGAACTGCTGCTATCAGTTACAGTATCCCAAGTGTTACAGCAGTGTCCAGGAGATGCATGGAATGGTTTTGCCATTAAACAGTCCCTGCTCCAGAGAGAGCTGGCAGGAAAGTGAGGGCAGAACGCTGCTTTGGCCTAACATCCCCTTGCTGGTCAGTCTGCATGTGGCTAAGAATACTAAGTACTCTTTCTGATACTGCAGGAAATCAAGTGGAAATTCTTCTTCAAGTCTTGGAGAAATGGTTTCTGGCACGTTTCGAGCCACACCTACTTCCACAGGTAAGGAGAGTTTTACTTAAGGCAACTCTTGCTATTTCTGTTACTTCTATTTTAAAAGTCATGTCTGAAAAGTGTGGGTTTTCCCCCTTTGCATTATTAGGATGTTCTGCTGAAAGTACACGTGCAGAGGTGGAGAAAGACATCTATTTCCAGACATGCAGTAGTTGCTAAGGGACTGGGAGTAAAAAACCTCAGGAAAAAGGGCAACTGTGCCCAGAACAGAATGAGTGACCAATTTAAGTAGCGCTGATGGAAAGCAAGAAGTGTGGAGTGGAAAGGAAAGGAGAACAGAGTGGGGTTTTGCTTGCAAGCGTTACGGTTGCTATGCACAGTGTGTGTTTAACCAAGTTCTTGTTTGGTCTTTTAGCAAAACAGAAACAAAAAGTGGTAAGTACCCTTCTGCTTTCGTTCTATATTCCTCATTTTGAATGCGTAATTCCCAGATTTCTCAGTTTGATTAATGATCTGAAGGAATGCTTTCCTCTTCCAGACAGAACACGTTCCCCCATACGATGTGGTGCCATCTATGAGGCCCGTTGTCTTAGTGGGGCCATCGCTGAAAGGCTATGAGGTATGTATCCCAGTGTTTGCAGTCAGTTCCCATTTTCTTGCCCATGGTTTCCTTTGATGCATTTGGTGTGTTGGCCTGATTACCAACCAGACATCCTTAAACTACACAGTTTTAGTCAAACCAGCACGTGCTTTGAGCTGAATTAATCCAAATTTAGAAGACATTTTCCCTGTAAGGTGATTCGCATGTTTTCACTTGTGAAAACTTCACGTCTTCCCACAAAGCTCTGTGCTGGCAAGCAAAATAGCTGGGCTGTGGTAGCACATCCGTATCTGTTCTGCAGCACCTGAAACTGAACATGGGGACCAGTGAATGTCATTTCAGTGTGTTTTCTTCGTGTTTGTTTTCTCATTACATTGTAGTATTGAAATATGAGGAAACCTTTAGCCCTTCTAAATTATTTGCCTCTCTGCAACATGGAGGTGGGTGTGATAACAGGTGCAGATAAACAGGAGACCCATTTGTCAAGATTGCTGCAGATTCAAAAGAGCATTTAGCACATGCTGAAAGACCAGAGGCTTTTAGCAGGGCCTGTCGGTGAACTTACCCATCTGTTAAGTGCTTTGCCAAATTAAGATCTAAATTAACATGAACATAAAATCAAGGATACGCTTCATTTAGCTTAATTAATGCTGTTAGTACTTTATAGGATATTATTAAACATTGGAATGGCTCTTTTCAGAAGGTTGCAGCAGGGTAATGTTAGCATAATGCGATGTTCTTACATCACTTTTTTTAGTAAGAATGATTAGAAGTGTAGTTTAGTGAAGCAGGAATGAGGCACTTCATTTTCATCTGCCTTTTAATTTTACGGTGGTGTTTCGTGATAGGAATTAATGTCAGCCATTGGTTTTGATGGTGCTCCACCACAGCTTAATTTGTCTGGGCACTGAAGTTTGGTGGGGAGAGGAGCAGTCTGTTGAGTGCATACCTCTGTACAAGTATGTTCCCCCTCTTTGTGTTAGAAAATAATACTAAATCCAATATCTTGAACATACGAAGGTGTATAAATGGTACTGCAGTTAGGGTGTTTTCATCCCAATTTTGTTCTACACAACAGAAACACATTGCTCTTACTTTGCAACCTGTATGGAAAAGTTCAGTGGTATTTTTTCTGATTAAGTTCTCTGAGAAGCACTTTAAAGGTAACCTGGGAGAATTAAACTGCCAAAGGCCTGGGGCTTTGGTGCAGATCCTATCTGTGTGTCAGTAGAGTTGTACTGAAAGGAACAGTCAGGAAAGCAAATGATGTCTGTTGGGGCTGAACATCTCTCAGATGCTCTCCCTGTTACAGGAGTGGAAACATGTTTTTTCCTCTTTGTAGGCATCTCAGAGAATAGTTTTGCTCTTACAGCAGCCATCCGACAGAACAGATCTTGTATCTGAAGTCTTATGCCAGTAATAATAACGTTACTGTGGGGGAAAAAGCAAGGGATTTGTTCAACCCAAAGTCCCGTGTGGTTCTGACATGTGCTGAGTCCTGCTGGGAATGGCATTGCTTTGGAAGGTGATGAGGTGTGCTCCGATGCCTCAGAGCAGATGGAGGCAGGAGCAGAGCAACAGCTCTGATGTCCTTTGGGCCACATTTTGTGAGTGAGTCAGAAAACCTGCAAGTGTTTGTTACAAAGCTGCTTCCAAGAGCATGTTAATTAAATGATTGTACCTACAAAAGGTATTGATTGTTGGCAGTATCCTTACCTTTTGCTTACCTCTTCTTACTTTTGACTTCTCTTTCTCCCTGTCATTCCCCTCTGCTCAATCTTCCTCACCTCTGCGAAGGTGACAGACATGATGCAGAAAGCTCTATTTGACTTCCTGAAGCACAGGTTTGATGGGAGGTGAGAAAGCTGTCCTTTCCATGCTTTTTTTCCACGTGTTACTTACGCTTTGGTGATATTTTTTAATGAAAGGAGACCGGTGCATGTTCCAAACTGATTTATGGTATCAGCAGCAAAGTGCAGCTGACAGTGGGTTGAAGCTGATACATCACTAGGTGTGCATGTGTCTTTGTATCATCTGCTATGTCCGTCGTAGGATTTCTTCATTTAAATGAATCATTTTGCCTCAGTGTCTCATAAGAGTAGGGCTGCAAGAGAAACCTAGATGAAAGGTGACTGGAGCACAAGGGAAGTGACAGAATAGCTTTGAAGTGGCATTTCCAGGCTTGGGTATTCAGCGTTGCAGTGGGAAGCACGCAGTGCCAGTACAGCTGGGAGTGCTGGGGAGCAGTGCCAACCTGTGAATAACCCTTTGGGCAGGGCTCAGCTCCTGGTTTGTTTTGTGTAGTTCCAGGCTCCTGTCCAGCAGGATGCGCTTCAGATAAAACTACTTGCACCCAAGCCCTGCAAGTACCATGTTGAATTGTGCAGAAACAGTCCATTTGACTGGAGGTAGTGACAGTGCTTCAGGCTGGCATCTGCAAGAATTTAATTCTTGACTATTGTTAGTAATCAGAAATAATTAAAGCTTGAAGATGGAAATGCTGAGCACCGAGATACACAAAAAGGTGTTTTATAACTACAGCTGGAGCAAGAAGAATATTTCCTGAAGAGCTGTGATGGGGAACAAGTTTGTGCATTTCCTTGTAAGGAGGAGAGGGTTGGTCCATGGCGTCCCTTCCTCACCCCTGAAGTTCACCCATGGTTGCAGATCTGTGCTCTGCCATTGGGATATTTGACCCTTCTTTCACCATAGTGTGTTCAGCGTGTTGTATCTGCATAGCAGGGTGCTTGTGCTGCACTGGTTTAGCTGCCCCACGTTTGTGACAAGAAGGAAGGTTTGTAAAGCCTAAAATGCTGGCACTAAGGTGAGGAAAAGAAGTTTCCATAGTTTAGAAGAGGTGGAATAGGATTTATGTTCAAAGCACCTTTTGGGGTGCAGCACAGAGGTGGTGATGCTCAAATAACTCACAGCTTAAACAGAGCTTTTAATAAGCAACCTTTGTGCAAAATGTTTGTTCCCTGCTCCTAATAGCCCAGCTGAAGTGGTTTTAACACATTCCACAAAGGCAATGATGGATTCCAAGTCCGACAGTTGAAGCAGTGACTGTTGCAGCCCACAGCTCTGTTTGCTGTGTTTGTTGCATGCTGTCAGGACACTCTCTCCCCCTCCTGAGCAGTTTGACTGATGTGGTTTCGCTGCAGCTCAGCACAGCTCTGGTGCACGTTTCCATCAGGGCAGATGCAGGACTGCTGCGTATGTTCCCTCCAGCTCCTGCCACACACCTGTCAGTTTGCAGTGTGCCTCTGGTAACTGACAGTCATTGCTTTTGGTGGGAAACCATGGCAATGGGATGCGATACGTCGAGTCACCAGGACACGACTGCTCTGCAGTGTCTTTTTAAACCGTGTTTGAGAGCCTGCTCAGCAGAGGCTGAACCCACATGGGTCAGCAGTGCCTTGGTGTGGGAGATGAAGATGTAGTGCTGCCGAGGGGATCAGCACCTTGCTTTGTGCTGCTGTGCTCTCACTGCTGTGCTGCCTGGAGTGAAGTGGTGCTGGGAAGTCTTCCTGCTGTGAGACACGTTGGCAACTAAATTAGGCAGACATGAGGCATTTCAGCTATGAAAAAGTTCAGTGCTACATACAAGCTGATACCATTGACTTCAAGTTTGAATCACTTAAAAAAATCAATAAAATTCATTCTTTGGAACCTGAGCTGCTGCTTGCTCCTCCTGTCTTTATGTTGTGTGCAATGGCTGCTGGTCATTTTCAGCCTGTTTTCTTCTTGTTACTCGTGGCTCTTTAGCTCATCACAGTCCTTCTCACTGGATTTTACATGAGGCGATCGCGTGCTCTTTGTTTTATAATCTGATCGAAGAACAAACTCTCAGATGCAGGTGAATAGCAGGGCCCTGTTCTGCACCCTGAATGCCCACACACAAGGCACGGGAAGGCTTCAGCAGCACAGCGGCTGTGGCTCACCTCACTTTTCTCCTGTTCTGACCTTGTGCCAAGTCCCTGAGCCCCCTGCACAGCCCTGTCTGGACGAGGAGCCGTGTGCTGGAGATCCAGAGCCAGCAGCTTCATTTGGTGACTCAGATGGGAGTGGCAAAGTTCAAATAAGGCCCTTCCCTACCTGCTGGCAGTGCCAGCTTTGGTTATGCCACCTGGGAGGAGTGCTGCCGTGCTCTGTGCCCTGAGACTTGCTTTAGCTTGTAGCCAGGTATTGTGTAAATCCATGGGTGGTGGGATGGGGAGACGTGAGCTGATTAAGCAGGAAAGCAGGAGCTGTGTGAAGAGTCTGCAGTAGCAAATAATTGTACAATTACTCAGCATTTCTGTTTAGCTGTTCTCTAATGCGATGAGTGGTGTTTTATTGGATTTGCACTTTGGAATGAAATGTGGCTGTAAATCATGCGTGGCACAGGAAAAAAGTAACGACTGTGGATTTGTTTTGTGCTGTGTTCTTGCCCATAGGATATCAATAACCCGAGTGACAGCTGACATTTCTCTTGCTAAGAGGTCTGTTCTGAATAACCCAAGCAAGAGGGCAATAATTGAGCGGTCAAACACACGATCCAGTTTAGGTAAGACGTGGACACAGCTGTAACTCTGAGCGTGGCTGCACTGTCCCCAGTTCTGAATGCACCTACAGCATTTTAGTGTGTAATTCTGTGTTTCACGTCCTCTGATGGGTGATGGAATTTTCCTGACAGAGGAGTGGCACAGAGCACAGTGTGTTGAGTTGGCATCCTGTGGAGCAACGCCTGGGCTAGAGCAAGCAGGATTACAGCTATTGTAACTATTCACCTGTGCTGACTTTATCAATTTAAACTTACTCGCATGCATGGGAATGGTTGAGAAAGGTCAGATTCATCATCTTCCTTCTAGTTCTGACGTGTTCCTTCCTTTTACTGCAGACAAAAGTGCCTTGGTGTGAACGTTGCCATCGGTGTCTTTTTAAATAATACCCTGACAGGATTTACCATAAACAGATCTTTGTGCTTTTGGGATTGTCTGGTCACAGTTCTGCTTTTTGTACAGATTCTTATTTAAGTTAAATCAGAGCTACAATTTGCAAACAAAAAAAAGTCCTAAAAAGTATAAATATATTACTGTCAAAAATAAATATCTTATGACTCCTGAGATATTTTGCAGATCTGAAAAATATGCCTGAACTTATTTTGAGTTAATAGAAAGATACATTTAGCTGTAGTGTGTACACAGTGTTTTCAGACAATGGAATTGCCTCAAAGATGACATTAATTTAAAAAATCCTTGAGTAATAGATTATTGTGTGAAAATTACATGAAGTCACGTGTGGAATTCATCTCAGAATGTATAGAGTTCGTGAAACTGAATGGGTGATGGTATTTTCCATGTGGCTCTGGGCAGCCTGGTCTGGGTTGGTGACCCTGCACGTAGCAGGAGGACTGAAACTGGATGATCATTATGGTCCTTTTCAACCCAGGCCATTCTGTTATTTTTGTGTAAGTAGCACTGGGGTTGAATGGCTTTCAATTGCTTTATTTTCCTCCTTTAGCTGAAGTGCAGAGTGAGATTGAAAGAATCTTTGAGCTGGCCCGGTCCTTGCAGCTGGTTGTCCTGGATGCAGACACTATCAATCACCCCGCACAACTTATCAAGACATCTCTAGCACCAATTATTGTCCATGTTAAAGTGTCTTCTCCAAAGGTAATGTATCTCACCATCAAATTATTTGCATTTGAGTTTTTCAGCATCTGCATGGCATTCGTGTACGCAGGATAAGATGTTTTACTCCTCCAACAATCACAGCAGTACAGGGCTTGAGGTTGAAAGATCCTTCTGGAGCTCTGTCAGCACTACTTAATGCAGTGGAAGTGTGTCAAAAGATGACTAATGTCTGTCATGTATTGTTCACTTCTTTCCTCCCATTCAATCCCTAGAGGACAGAGTTGGTCACGTAGCTCTATTTCTTTACAGCTGCCATTTACATTGCAGCTAATCCTGCATTTGGCATGTTGTTCGTGAAGATGCCAATCAGCATTTTACAGTCACTGTTTTCCCCTGAATCAGGTGTTGATTGTCCCCATTTTATCCTCTTGCATGGAGAGGCCACTTACAGAGAAGGGTGGGTTCAGTCCTTGGCACCATGTGCTGCTGCCCACAGTGATGAAAGTTTTCAGGATGACTTGTAAGTTCTTTATGGGGGAAAATAGAGTTACGTCTCAGAAGACATAAAAAATAATGAAATCATTTGCGTTTTCTAAGACAGTTATCCTTGCTACACAGGATAGAATTCAGCACAAACTGAATGCAGCATTAGAGCAGCCTGATTACGTTAGCACAGCATTTCACTTGACCTAACTTACCCTTCTGAAGCAGAGCCCGCTAACGCAGCAGTGCTTCCCAGCTTGTTGGAGCTGGAGTGAGGATTGGGGAGAGGATACCCTCACAGTGATGCTCTGGGTCAAAGCACTGTTCCCTTCTGGCTTTGGTTTTTGCAGTCCCTCTGCTGAGCTCCTCACAGCTTCATTGCTTCCTGTAGCAGCAGTGTGACACTGCTCAGCAAGCTGGCTGGGCAGCAGAAGCCAAAGAAGGCTTAAGATGCAAGGGAGTGGATAAATGGCTTGTGTTTGGGCTTGGGTGTATAGACAGGGCATTGCACTGTGTTGAGTGGATATACCCTGCCCCATCTGTATGCCCATACTGTAAGAGAAGATGCACTTTAAAATGCTTTTAAAGCTCAATTTGTATTGACTGAAGTCAATTTGGTTACTATCCAAAGGAATTCCATTAGAGCTGAGAAGTTTCAGAAATGTCTGCCGTGTGTGTTGAGTGTGATGGAACTCCTGCAGAGTTCATATTATTAGAAGACAACTTTGCTGGTATAGAAAGCCTTTTTTGAACTGTTCTCTCTGTACCCTTGCTACTGGCTCTCTGCAGCCAGCTCCTCACATCTCTATATGATCTTTCCCAACCTATACTGAGCCTGGGTAACTGGAATTTGCTGATTCCCAGCTGGGCTTGTTGAGCTCAGTACAGATGAGTAGCACTGCTGGCACGTCTGGAGGAGGGTCACATCCCACAGGGACTGGTGGCTAAGGCTGGGGAAGGGAGGAAAGAAAACAAATCTTCATGTAAGTGTAGGTGTATAGGAAGAAAACATCTGCCTTCACCTTCCTTTTGAACATGCCTTTTTTGACTACTGAAGTAACTTCCATTTAATTTCTTTCTGGTAATAATGACTGTTTGGGAAGCTTGTGTACAGAAAAAAAATCTGTCTCAGATTTTCCCCTGTCTTTCCAGGTAAGTAGGAAGCAGAGGGAGATCCTTGTTGCCTAAGAATAAACAAACTCTCCACAGTAAATATTACATGAATTGCAGCGTGCTGCTTAGATAGGGCCCAGCAGGAAATGACCTGGCTGCCTGTTGTCATGGGACGTGGAAGGAGCTGTGGGTGTTGCTGGCCTTTACAGCAGGGCTTTGCTGCACTCTCCTGTAGGCAAATTGCTGAGATACGCACTGGATGACTGTGAATTATCAAAAGGGTTTCAGACTGAGCAGACTTCTGGGTGCAGGGTGCAAAGTCTAACTGTTCCTGGTTATCAGGGGTCCGTAGTGGGGCAGCACAGCTCAGTGTCTTTGTTAACGACCTGGCTGATGAGTGCAGTGCACTCTGAGTACCTGTTTGTGGGAAATGCCGAAGTCTGGGGCAGGTTAATGTGCCAGAGGGTAGGGCTGACATTGAGGGGGACCTTGGCAGGCTTTCACCAGCATCCTAAAGTTCTTCAGAGGGAAATGCCAAGTTCTGTCCCTGGGCTGCTGTGAGCCCCTGCTCAGTTGGGGCAGTTGTGCAGGTAGGGACGTGGGCTCCTGGCAGGCAGCGTGGGCACGAGGGAGCAGTGTGCCATGCAGCAGAGACATGGCTGTGTGCTGGGCTGTGTGAGCACGTGCTCGGTCCTGACCCACAGGGGTTACCCCAGAACTCAGCTGGACAAAGAGCTGAGCACTGTGATCCTGCGAGGGGTTTGGCACAGAGACCTCTAGAGGTCCTTCCAGCTTCAATAATACTCCGTTCTGTGATTCTTTAATTTTCTTTGAGACTTTACAGGAAATCCTTTAAATTCTCTAACTGTTCTGACCCTGAAGTTCTAATAGTGGAAGAAACAAACAGAGGAATTTATGAACTGTGTGCATAACATTCCTTCTGTACCCAGAACATTCCTTGGAACAGATACAGTCACAGCATTATTGCTACACAGCATAACGTGCTCCTACTGCTGTGCTGCAGTCAGTCCTCTGTCATTCTCTATGTGTGTATTTACATTTTGTGCTCTTCTAGAAGATTACATTGGTCATAAATAGCCTGTCACTTAAAGCAAATAAAGCAAAATTGCTGTTTCCATTGCCATTGAAATATTTGTTAGGGATCGAATGTGATGCAGAAGGAAACACCCAGCTCTCAGGGAGGCTCTTAGCAATGTTTATGTTTCTATTCAGGGAGAATATTTTGTCCATTTTGTTAAACGTAATAGAGAGCTTCTGAAATTGGTAATCCTCCAGTGCAATGTCAGTCTCTGAGCATTATGGACATGATTCTTAAACTCACCTTTTCCTCTTTTCCTCTATCAGGTTTTGCAGCGACTGATTAAATCTAGAGGAAAGTCACAAAGTAAACACTTGAATGTTCAGTTGGTGGCAGCTGATAAACTTGCACAATGCCCACCAGTAAGTACAGAAGAAAGGCTAAAGAACTTGTGATGTGTGGAGTCTGAAAGATGTCTGCTGTCTCGGTCCTTTATTATAGCAGAGTTCAAATGTTATCACTTCCCTTTGTGGACAGCCCAACACTGCAACCCTAGCTCAGCTTTTGTTGCTGAGGAACAAAAAAGTGTGGTACTTTCTTCCTGACTGTCTCCAAAGCCGGGTTTGTTTTGCTCTTTGGCCAGATGACAGGTCAGAAATGTGGTAAAACTGATCTTCCAGCAGCACACGAGCAAATTACATCACTTGTGGAGCAGTGCTGTCTCAGGGGCCGAAGTCTCAGAGTCATGTTTGGGAGGAGGCTGCAGGGGACTTTCCTTCAGCCACGCAGCGAGTTCCTGCACAGCGTGAGGCACTCGTGGCTGCACACACGCCATCCCTGAGCTTCCTGGCACTGCAGCACCTGGAACCCTTCCAGGTGCTTTATCTGGAAGCCTGGTCACTGCTCAGGGCCATTGTATCACAGGTGCTGATATTCACCTCAATCAGTGTGCTTCTAAAGGAGCTCAGGTCTGAGATAGTGGATTAGGCAGGCAATGCTGTGCAGACAAAGTCTGTGCAGGGCAGACTTGCCTGTATTTGTGAAAGCCTTTGGTTCCTGTGACAGAGACAGCTGTTAAGTATGGGCATGCTTAGATGAGGGCTTGCTTTCTGAAAAGCACCATTTCCTACTGAAACTGCAAGGGAGCTTCAGTTAAGTTTGCTCAGCAGCACCAACCAGATGGAAATGGAGGAACAGTTTACACAGATCTGTCAGAACACTTAATATTGGGAGTTTTGCATAATGTTTTGGTGTATGTTCAGGCTGGATCTACATGGAGGTGTTAGAAAGCAGGGGAAAAGGAGATAGGTTTGACTGAAACTTGTCTTTGTCTGAAAAATGAATGGATTAAGAACATGTCCAGGATGAGACAGATCTGATTCAGGTTCCTCCTTTACCTGATACAGAGCTGAAATTCAAATATTGTAGAAAAGCACTGGTGATAATTGTGGGGCGTATCTTGATTTCTGCAGCCAAATGTACTGTTTGCAGTGCTCACTGTGCTCAGACTGCACACTCTGAGCCTGTCAGCTCTGCATTTAGAAGCCTTCCTCCTTGCCAGTGTCCACTGTCAGAAGTGGAAGATGGTGACTGCACATATATATGCAGCTGCTTGTGCTGCAGAGCCAGCCAGCAAGTTGAATGCAGCTTTGAAGCATCTGACTCCTTGTGTGTGTTCTGCGTATTCCCCCAAGCTTTTGTCCAGGGTTTCCTAAATGGGATATCATAGAATCATAGAATGGTCTGGGTTGCAAAGGACCACAATGATCATCTGGTTCCAACCCCCTGCTGTGTGCAGGGTCACCAACCAGCAGCCCAGGTTGCCCAGAGCCACATCCAGCCTGGCCTTGAATGCCTGCAGGGATGGGGCAAGGCATCTCATGCAGGAGCCCTTCATACTATTGAGACTTGCTTCTGCCCTGTGCCAAGCACAGTGTCACTCTCCAAGCTGCTGGCTATAGTATCTGTAGGTTGTTTGCTGCCTCATCCTTGTCTTCCACTTGGAGCAGCACAGAAAGATGTCGGAGCTACCTCCGTTTCTGCAGAAGTCAGCAGTATTGTGTTTCTCACACACAGTTTACACTGAATTGTTATGTCTGAAAAGGACAACAGGGAATTCCTGTGAGCCATGCAAGTCCAATCAACTTACACAGTGTTGGTAGTACAAAACAAGTTCTTTGGAAGTATCTGCCTTCCTCACTCTCAGTGGGTATGAGCCAAGTGAATGGAGTTGCACCTGCACCTGTTTGAATACAGCTGGTGCTGCTGACGCTGAGCCATCCCTGCAAGCTTGCACACAGCACCTCATTTTTCATTCTTCACATCTTGAAAGGTGCATTTATTCTTCCACCTGCACAGAGAAACCTGTGTGTGTTCCACAGCCTGAACTGCTCTCTCATTCAGTCACTTCCTCTTATTCCACTCAGCTTTGTGCAAACCCGTTGAAATGAAGCAGTGGCTGTTATTGAAGTGCACATTGTGCACCATGTTGTGTGAGCTGTAGCTCGTTTGTTGCATCACAGCACTTGGGTTGTGCATCTCAGGATCCACTAAACTCTGCCATAATCCTGGGTGCTGCAGTTCTGCTGATGCCCAAGACAACAACGGAAGGCCCTGCCTGAATAAGAGAAGTGTTTCCAATTTTCTGAGTTGCCTGCACTGTGCCTGCTGCTCTTATGGGTGATCCCATAGCCCCAGCTGGCAATTGGGAAGAAAAGAATAGGGTCTGGAATCTTTTGTGTAATGTAGGATGAGTGTCTTCCTGAATTAAGCAGTGTGGTGTTTTTTTTTAAAGCAGCATTTGAATTATCTGGAAAAATCTTCTGGCAGTGATGCTGCTATGGAATCTAACTCGGGTTCTTTTGGTATTGCCCACGGGCTGTGTTGAAGCCAGCAGGGCTTTCCCAAGCAGTGTGCGGTGCTGGCAGTTAAGTGTTGGTTTGTGCTCGTGAGCAACTAGGTTTGATTGAGTTTAAATTAAAGGGCCAAGTTGATCCATGATTTAATTAAGTACACTGCTGAGACCAAAGACGTTGCTGTCTGTCTGCTGCACCAGGCCCTGCTCTGTCTGTTTGCAGGCTGGATTCCTGCAAGAGCAGCGTTTGTTTGAAGTGGAGATACTTGTGAGCCATAAAAGCCACAGTCTGTTTCATGTGCTGCAAGTCAGTCTTAAGCAATCAGGTGGTGCTGTATTGTCTAGACATTATAAAAATAGCTTTCTTTCTTAAGTTCAGGAACTGCTTTCATTATTAATTCCTTGCTAATCTTTCACTCCAGCCACGGCTGCCACTGCATGACTCCGTTAAGCAGAAATGTGGCTCAAAGAAATGTGAGCTGTACTAACTGTATGCTTTAGGTGTGCTGGTCATAGGCATCCCATTCTGGTTTCTCTGTACTTGACCTAGTGCACTTAGGATGTTTTACAGTGTGGCACACTGCTTTCCCCAGAGCACGGTCACGTATCCCACTGCTGTTAATGGTTGTGCTGCATTCTTTTTGATATGCTTTAGTAAAAAAACATTAAAAAATAAGTTTTTTCTACCTTATGTACATTAACTATATCCTATATTTTACGAGGGCTGCTCCAAAAGTAATGCCTTCTGTTTTGTTATGTTGGTGGTACGGCAGCAGAGGCAGAACCTTCCTGCCATCATCCCATCAGGTGCTGTGGCTGTGTGACAGATGGCAGCAGAGGGACACTGTGACCAAATGGAGTCTGACATGGAAGTGCAGGTGGAGCAGAGCTGTCACTGAATTCCTCCACACGGAAACGTGGCACCTACTGACATTCATCAGTGCTTGTGAGAGTCTACAGAGACTGATCTGTGGGTGTGTGAGCACAGTGAGGGGTTGCTGTATTTCAGCAGTGGTGACAGCAACAGCAGGTCTGACTTCTATAAGCGTGGCATGCAGGCTCCTGTTCTTATGGCAAAAATGCAGAGCTAATGGTGGTGACTGTTGAAAAAATAATGTTTTATAGCTGGGAATTTGCTCTGTCAAATAGTGCTATCGTGTTCTTTGTAGCTGTTGTTGTTTCAATGGGAATAAATAGGAGGCATTACTTTTGGAGCAACCTACATGTATATGGACCAAGGCAATTCCTCTTCATTCAGCATGGCCCAGGTAAACCCAAAGGTTGGATACCCATGGTTAGTGGATCTTAGCACTGAAAGAGTGTTAAGCACTTGCTTGCAGAGGAGGGAACACTTATTTACCACACTGATAAGGAAGAGGAAATCAATATCAGGGTTGTAGAGCTAAGTGAAGTTCTGGAGCAGACTTGCAGGTGGCAGGTAGGTGCAAGTGAAGGTCTTGCACTTTTGAGTCTTATCTTGGAGAAATCAGCTTAGGACAGGTCTGACTGTGCAAGGCAGAGCAGCACGGTGTGGGCTGTAGCTGCTCCTGTGCCACCTGCACTTCTCATTTCCTGTGATGTTTTCACAATAGTTTTTTTCTACGGAGGTGAGAGAGTTAAGATCACAGATGAAGTACAGCATTTCACTGCCGAAGATACGTTTATCTTTTTCTTGAGGAGCTCTGTGGTTCTGTGTCAGCATTTCACTGCTAGCACTCACTGCCTGTAGTGTACTTTGGCTCCTTGGGTAGCACAGAGCCTCTTGGCCCCAAATCCTTCTGTGCTCACCAGGAAATTCTCCTCTGGGACTTTGCACTGAAAAGACCTGAGGCAAAATGCCAGGATTTGCATTAATGCTTCAGTAATGATCCTGGGTGAATTGAAAAAGGTGTGACCTGCATGGCTTTGTGGATGTGAGGACAGACGTGGGGCCGTGCAGATAGCTGGCAGAAGCAGAGGTGCTGAGTGGCACTGCACTGTGCCTGGGCAGAGCCCTGCTCTGCACTGCCATCACCGTATGAAATGCTGTGCTGAGCGTGCTTCACTCCACAAACGCATTCTGACTGGGATGTGAGAGGCAATGTAAAGTGTCCCAGTGTTGCTCTGACAGACTGCTTTAGTTCCTGTCTTCTGTTAGAATGCTTTGAGCAAAATAAACTCTTTGCTGGAGTCCTGTGCCTTCAGGCGTGCTGGGCCGCACAGTGCCTGGTGAGGGGAGAGCTTTGGCGTTGGGTGACAGAATCACAGAATGGTTGGGCTGGAAGGGACCTCAAGGATCGTGAAGCTCCAACCCCCCACCACAGGCAGGGTCACCAACCTCCCCATTTCATAGCAGCCCAGGCTGCCCAGGGCCCCATCCAGCCTGGCCTTGAACACCTCCAGGGATGGACGGGGCATCCACAGCCTCTCTGGCAGCTGTTCCAGCACCTCACCACTTTCATAGCACAGAACTTCCCCTGACAGCCAGCCTACATCTTCCCTCCCTCAACTTCAAACCATTTCCCCTTGTCCTGCTGTTATCTACCCTTTCAAAGAGTTGACTCCCCTCCCATTTAGAGGCTCCCTTTAGGTACTGAAAGGCTGCAATGAGGTCACCCCTCAGCCTTCTTTTCTCTAGGCTGAACAAACCCACTCATGTCCTTTGCTTTGCACTTGCAGTGCTCTGGTTGCTATTTATTTAATTCTAAAGTATTAGCATGATGAGAATTGTTTAACGCCTCTCTCACTTCACCCATAACATTGTAATGAACCAACGCTTTGTTGTTGTGATCAGGAAATGTTTGATGTAATTTTGGATGAAAACCAGCTCGAAGATGCTTGCGAACACTTGGCAGAATACCTGGAGGCATACTGGCGTGCTACACACACCACCAGTAGCACACCCATGACTCCTCTTCTTGGGCGAAACCTGGGATCCACTGCACTGTCCCCATACCCTGCTGCGATCTCTGGACTGCAGGTATGAAAATGCATTTCAGCTCCCAAACAGCAGCAGAGGTCAGGTATTTTGTTGTTTTATTTTTAATTTTGGGGGGGAAATGGTGTACTGTGTTGTGTATAGCGTAAGTTTTACGTGCTTCAGTGTCAACTGTTTGCTGTTTGGCCACAGCCAGCAGCAAGAATGCAAGCTGGAGGCCCATAGTCAACGCAGACACAGCTGAAGCACTGCGACAGCTCTGGCTTAAGTGGGAAATAAAACGGCTGCACACGTTGCTGCCATTTACGCTGGTATCACGGCCATATTAAAAAATGGCATTTTTTTAATGTGGAAAAAATGCCATTGCCAGTGGGATGCTCTCAGATTGAGAATACACTGTGGCACAGCAGTGGAGCTCGTGGCTGCTGTAATTGGGAAGAACAGTTTCTCTAATGTCCCATTCTCTAACTCATAACTTCACAAAGCATTTGCATTTGGGTGATGAACATCCATGCTTGTCTCGTGTCAGCAGAATGCCTTCACCTTTTGAGTTCTTTGAGTGTGAATAATTCCCATTTTTTTTTACCCATTGAAAAAAATTGTGACCATTTTTCTTCGCAGGGATAGCTCAAAAACGGCTGAACTTTGACACTTCAAACGTGGCATGTAAATAGTCCTTAACGAGAAGTACGTGCTTTACTAAGTTTGAAAACAGAACGTGTTGTTGAAGTAATAGTTGTGAATGCTTGGGAAGATCAGGACCGTAGTGAACTCTAAAGTCTGAGCATTTCAGAAGGTGTTTTGTGCGTGTGTGACTTCCTAGGAATGTGCACTTTCTAACGTATGTCAGAAGTCGATTGAGCAAATGAGATTTGATGAATGATTCACCTGACAAATTTAACCTCTGTTCTGCTTGTAGAATGTCTGGAAGCAGGTAACGCTTTTGAAGGAGGTGACTCAATGTTGAGTGTTCCCAATGAAAATGAAGCTATTTTTTCTGTGGGTGAATGGCACTTCATGAAGGTGCATGGTGTTTGGTACTCACCTTTCTAATGATGTGCTTGATTCTATTAGGCTCAGTGAGCCACTGTTTCCTGACTGGCTGAACGCACAAGCACTGTTCTGTTACTAATAAAGCACACATGTAAAATGTTGTCTCCATTTTCACTTGCCTTAAAATTTCAGTTTTCCATCCCGTCATGACAATAAAATACCATCTGTAGAACTGTCACCTCTTCAGTTTCATTTTGAAAACTGGGTGTATCCGCAGAATTTTTTTCAGGCATTTATTTCTCTCTGATCAATGGACACCAGCAGTGACTGTGAAATGTTGCTCCATTTACTTAGGGAAAACTCACACTGAAGATGAAAATCACCCCTGTGCAGTGGGCTGGCTGAAGGTATGCATCACCTAATCCCCACTTCACCCTCATTGTGAAGGCTTAGCTGGGACTTGAATGGTGCTAGTTCTCTGCAGAGGGGTAAATTTCTCCCTGAGTGAATGATGCCCAGTTGAGGACTGCAGGACGTGGCTCTCAGTGCTGCTCCAGCACTCAAAGAATTTGGGGGTTTTTACACAGTTGATTTGAAGACTTCCATCAATGGAAGCGCTTACCCACCGAGAGGATGTGTGCTAATTCCAGCCTTTGGAAGCATTTGTTTCAGTTGTAAATGTTCTGATGTCATGGTGGTGACTGAAGCCCTCACACATCCAAGGAACCAAACTAGCTTAGGTGCCTATGGTTATTTAAGAATTCATACTTCATAGGGCCTGGTGGCTCCTCTCTTGATACCTCAGGGAACCGAATACTGGAAGCCCCAAATACTAAAAGCCCCCAAGCTTTTTACAGCAGTCATATCTGAAACTGATGCAGATTTGCTGGGGCAGTCTGTTTGTGTTTTACCCGATCAGAGTTTGGGGGTGTCTCTTTCTCACTCAACTGTCACTTGAAGTATAGTTTATTGTGATTGAAGCTTCTAATGTAATCTGAACCTTTGGGCTTCATGAAGGTCATCAGGGTGAAGTCATTGGCATATGTACAGCTAAGTCAGACCAGCAGCTCCAGGAGTGTCCCATTACAGCTGTGTGGTGCACCTTCCAAAGCCTGTGGTCACTCGGTCCTTGGCTGTGAGCTGCTTAGTGGGGAGTGATGGGGATGCTCACATGTATTTGCAGGCCTCAGCAGGATGAGTGAACTGTCAATGCCAGCTGGGGCCAGTGGTTAGCATTTGTGGCTGAGCTCTGGTTAGGTCTAAACCTATGTAGTTCATCCTAATTCTGGTGAACAGACTTGCATCCTGCAGTTCAGGTCGTGGGGATAAGTGCTCCTTAGGCTCCAGAGGCATTTTAAGGCAACTACTGAAGGCCGTGTCATGCAGACAGTGCAACTGGATCAAAAGTAATTTGGGATATAACAGCAGCATGTAACCACACCAGGTTTATGCCATGGTTACACATCTCAGGAGGGAAATAGTGGGATCAGAATTACTATGCAATCACAATAAAGACTGGAAGGTTTTAAGAAAATAACAGTTTGCATCCAGAGAAGAAATTACTGCAGTGAAGAAGGAGAACGTGAGCATAGGAAGTTAAATTTGCAGCTCTCTAGTGAAGAAAATATATGGACTTTGACATACAGACACTGCTAAGACATGATGCTAGGAAAACTTGGGCAAGGCATTGTAGAAGTTGCTGCCCCGTAATTAAGCACGAATTTGTAGATCAGCAGCTTTTCTGTGTCAGCTCACTACATGGAGTCTCTCAGTGGATAACCTTGGTAGCATCGATCCACGCTGGGAGACGAGACATCCTATCTGCTGTGCTGTAATGTACACCTGTCTGCAGGGTTATTTACTTCCCCAGGCAGACAAGCCTTTTGTTATAAATTATGCAGTTTAACAGTTGCCACAGAGAAGATGTAGCGATGGGAGGAAGGTTTCAGAGCATGGAGAGCCTTGCCCAAAATTTCAGAAGGGAGAGGAGCAGGGAGTGCTGTGTGTGCCTGTGAACCTGAGGCCACAGGGCTGCAGCCATCACAGCAGCGTTCTGCTGGCACTGCCAGGATCAGAGCAGTGACTGTTATCTCAGGAAAGGGAAGCACAGGCCACGTTTGTTCTGAGCTGTACGGGTGAGAGGCTTAATGTGATGGCAGTAAACCGGGTTGTTGTCTGCATAGACCCCTTCAGTGTGCTACTTCATTGGCAAAATACATGAACCAATTTTTTTTTTATGTCATAAATGTAATACGTCATTTTGGGAATGTGAGGATAGAAGAAGCTCATTATCTTACTTAAAATACTGCATTTTAGCTGGAAGAATTTGTTAACGTTTTAACTATGGCTTTGCTGCCCAGTGAGCTGCTGTCACTTGTTGGGTCGTGTGAAGTTTTTTACAGAGAGCTCAGGGAGCCGAACCTTTAAAAACAAGAGGGGCAAAAACCACCTTCAGCTGTTTTCTGAAGATCCGTAAACCTGTGGCAAACTGTTTCTAAGCAGAATAGAGGCATGAATGAGACTATGTTCATGATCAGAGAAAGGTGATAAATGCTGAATACATCAGCTCACTTTTCATGCTAAGCGACCTGTAGTGTTTAAGGTGGTGAATGCCATAAGAGACACGTTGTAATGCCATGTTTGGTCTGCTTGCAGCTCTAGGAACCAAACTATTCTTGTAACCCATTCCTGTAAGCATACAGGTTTTAATATAAAACGAATTTCACAAAAGTGGATGGATGTTGAAAGACCTCAGAATAAAGTTTCAAAACTAGCTTAAAAGTACCCAATTCTCCTTATTTGTGCTAACGCTTGGATTCTTTGATACTCGTAGAGCCAGCGTATGAGGCACAGCAGCCATTCAGCAGAGAACTCTCCAATTGAGCGACGAAGTCTCATGACCTCAGATGAAAATTATCACAACGAAAGGGCTCGGAAGAGCAGGAACCGCTTGTCTTCCAGTTCCCAACACAGCCGAGATCACTACCCTCTAGTGGAAGAAGAGTACTCTGACTCATACCAGGACACTTACAAACCCCATAGGAACCGAGGATCCCCTGGAGGATATAGCCATGATTCACGACACAGGCTTTGAGTTCAAGAACCTGGGGAAAAATAGTATTCATCAGTTGATAACTTGCCATAACGTAGCTAGGAAAAGCAATTCACCTTAATTTGGCAGATGTAATGCGGTTATACTGAGGTTACACTCTGCTGTCATTTGATGTTCAGTAGGGGACAAAAGAGTTATCATGCCCTTACGTTTATGCCCTGTCATATAGATTGCATTTTGTTGTTGTTGTTTTTTTTTTAGTACAGCATTTACATTTATAGCCATACCTTTTCTCATCGTTAGATATTAGGCACATCAGTTTGTAACTTAGGGTTATTATCGAGGCACTTATAAAGTAATTTCCTGTGCTGGAAATTCCAAATGACCAGTTCCAGTTGGAACCAATTTATAAACCAATTCCTGTTGGAATTTGGGTGAATTGACTGGAAAGTCAACCTGAGCATGTTGCAATCAAGTGAAAAAGATAAAAATGAAGAATCTGAAAATTAGAAACCAGTAGAAGCCGGAAAGTCAGCTACAGTATTTGTTTGCCGGAAGCTCAGTTTACATTTACAGTTAGAATAAAAGCATTTTATCCTAACTACTTCCTTCCAGAATGGCTTTTTCAGACAAACCAAATGTAAACTGTTGAGAGTGCCAAAATCACAAATTATTGCAGCAGTTACAAAATACTTTCCAGTTTGAAATTATTTTTAGAGCTGGCATAAGTGTTGCAGCAAAATGATTTCTTTAGTTTAGCCAGTACTGACTTTTGTGTTGGGGTCAGCAGTGATGAGCTATGACACGACAAGGGGAAACAGGAACAGGAAAATGAACAAACTTTAGGACAGTTTGTGTGGTCAGAGGTTGGGAATAGTCTTTTTTTTCCCTCTCTCTCTTGTTTACCTGAATACAGCTAGTAGTCCCAAAATCATAGAATCACAGAATCACAGAATGGCCTGGGTTGCAAAGGAGCACAGTGCTCATCCAGTTCCAACCCCCTGCTGTGTGCAGGTCACCAACCAGCAGCCCAGGCTGCCCAGAGCCACATCCAGCCTGGCCTTGAATGCCTGCAGGGATGGGGCAAATGGAGGAGGAGGAAGGAGGAGTACCAAAACTGGTACCGAGACACACAGTATTTTTTCTCCCATTTTGAGTATCCTGCCTTTTTAAATGGAAAATGCTACTTTTCCAACCTAGAGTGTAGAGTACCTCCACTTCCAGTCCATCTGAGTAGCTGCGTGTTGCAACCTTCAAAATCTGTCTCTGAATGTCTGAAAATTCCAGCATCGCACAAGAACTCTCCAGAAGAACATCAGTTTCAATCCCTGTAGTGAAATCTGAGGAAAGGGGGGAGGTTAAGGGTCCCTAAATGATAAAAGTGGGAATAATACGCTCATCAGAATTAGCATGCAATAAAAATGGAGAATCAGAAAATAATCGCTCACATGCAGAGCTGACATTTTTAACTCAAAGAACTGCGATAAATCCTTGGAGATATCGCTGCCTTATTTCCTGTTGATCACTTATTTCACCTATTGAGTCTTCAGGTTTTTTTTAAATAGGTCAGTGTCTGTGAGCAGACCTCACATCTTACACCATCAGTGAAGCCTTAGATCCAATACGACTGAAACAGTGAGCAGAACTGGCAGTTTTGTACAACACAGCAAGGTCTGTAAGCAGAGACTCCTGAAGTTCCAACTGCTTGTTTTCTTAAATTGACAGAACTGTGCTGAACGTGTGTTTCTGTATGCAGGTTCATGTCAAAAGTTTTTTCAAAGATGAGGGTCATTGACTTCTGTATCTGAATATCTTCCCCAGGGGGGGCTTTAAGAGCACCTAGCACGAATTTCAGGGGGGAAATCCTAATTATTATGGTTTCTTCCGCTTTCTGGACCAGTTAACAAAGATCACTGATATTTTCCACCACCACTGAGCCTGGTTATCTTCTTGATGTTAAAAACAAGAAAAGTAATTCATCTCCTGCCTGGTACAGCCAAAAATGACGTACATCTCTAGCAGCATTAGAAGATCATGGATGCATGACTGATTTGTTAAACAGTTCTACTGCCTCAGAGGCAAACCTTAAACATTACTGGATGATTCAAGTGGGCCATTGCCAAGAAAAAAACTATTAAATACCTGCATCCATTAGAGTAACAAGTGTTAAGAATGGGTATGACAGACCTGATCCTGTTGGATTTTCTTCAGCTGAATGCTCACAGATTCCAAAAGTGCATTTAGGCTGAGAAAGCACAGCAAGATGTGGTCTGGGAATGGTAGCTACAGCTGCCTTCTCTAATATTTTCTGCTATAGCACAGTGGAGCATTCTCCAGTAATTTTTACAAATCTTTGTTACATGTACAGCACACATACCTGCATGAGAAAGAAGGCATTAGGCAAAACATATTTTCTATAAGCTTTAATAAGTTTCTTGTTTGTGTGCATTAAAGTATTAATTGCAAAGGATGCACTGAGATGTATAAAGCTAGATTAGACAGCTGTTTATCTTTATTCTGTAGTAGCATTAGGGATCCGATCATTTAACTGCTTGAAGATATTTGCATTTTAATGGCAGGTAGCTGTGAAGCACCTGCATATATTTTCTAGTAAACAAGGTTACTGCTTTATCATTTCCTAGGCAAAAATGGCATTTATTTCTAGAGCCTTTTGGAGCCTTGTTTTTAAGTCTTCCATGTCATGCTAGTAAAGGGAAAGATCGACACAACACATAGGCATAAATTCCATCACCTGCAGCATCTGAAGTGCCAAAACAACTTTGTTCTAATAGAAACAAGCTTGCGAGGGATGTTATGTATTGTCTTGGAAGAACCCATTGAGATCCTTTATTAGATGGGTTTAAGGTCACTGTTGTATGTAATTAATTTACCCTCTTCGCTCCCATTGCCCATTGCATTTTAACTATAAGAAATCAGTTACAAAAGATCCAGCAGATCTCATTGCTTGGTGTTTTTTCTTTTTTTCTTTGAGGACAGGTATATCTTTAAGCACAAATATACTGGACATGCTAATAGATGGTTAATTTATTCTAGATACGAGCTACTGGAACTCTTTCATTTTACACAGTAAATTATTTTTAGGAAACACGGTAATCAGTAAAAGCTGCAATGTTGATCAGGACGTGTTAACTCATAGTGTTTGTATTAGAACTGCAGCAGTGCTAGGCAGCTGTATTGTGATTTATTATGCAGTGCTGCTATATACAGCTGTGAAGTTCTGTATTCCTCAGTGAGTACGAGTAATTTTCCCGTCCTCGTACCATTTCTTCTTACTATTAAAATATTATTAAGCAAAGGCCGGGGTTCTGTTCCTAAGCTCTAGCTTACACAGAGAATTTTAGCTGGCTTTTTTGTTACCTGATGTTTTTTTCCTTAGGAGACTTGGGCTAACAATAGCTCAGCCAATGAAAGCGATACGACAGTCTTCACATCTAAAGACAATATTAGGCGGTGCGTTCGTATGTTTTGGATGAATTAAAGTACTGTCAAACTCTTGAAGGCACTTTAAAGACAATTCATTGTTAAATTCCTAATTTCAAATATTTCCCTTTTGGCAGGTTGCATTTAGCAGCTGTACGGGTTCATTTAGTGGCCACGTAGACGAACATTTATCCCATGGGGTGTGCAACTCACAGCTGGCTGTATTTCTGCAGTGAGTAAATTATGAAATTGCTGTTCAAAGGAACACAATGGAAGCTATTCTGTATAAAATTATAGTTTTATAAACAGCGGGCCAGGTTCTATGGTTGCTTTCTAAACGTTCGACCTGGTAAAAATCAGTTCCTCTGCTTGAGAACTAATAAATAGTGCAGCGTGGCCCTACACCTAGATTGTACCTCAAGAAATCCTCTTAGCCCCAGGCTGTGTTCATGATGAGCACAGCAGACTGGAGCACACCCTGGCTTAGATCTGATGTTTCTGGCTTGCTGTGCTGGACCCAGGTGCACTGGGTATGGTGGGCTGGGAGGAGGCTCTGGGCTCCAGCTATGGCCATATGCAGAGTGGTGGTGCTGGCTTTTTGCAAGGAGAGGCAGTGCCACTGGTTCTTCTCTAGGTTTGCAAGCTTTTTCTCAACTTGATGACTGGGGTGGTAACCTTTTGCACCCCTTTTAAAAGAACGTTTACACATAACTTGTGAGAATGAAAATTGCAAGCAGGGAGTGGTGGCTGTAGGAGTAAGGAGGCAGCGACAGTTGATTGAGATGTGCACAGGCCCTCAGCTTACAGTTCAGTCTGACTGCAGGTCTTCTGAATCCCGTTTGGTCTCAGTACTATGGAGTCCTCTGAAACCTCTCCAAATCACTTTACTGGCCCTAACGTTCTCAAAATAGTATTGCTAATTTAAGTAAATGAAGGCTTTTGTTGGTAGTTTGGCTTTGAGAATATCTTAAACGTCACTCTGATAGATTTTGTTGTCCAAGTTGAGTACTTGTGAAGCCTGGCCTTGACTCCATGGTCTTCATTTTTTTAAAGCAAAAGTAAACACTGTGAAGAAGAAAAAAATCAGATGCACGTTGGGTAGAATATCAGTAATACAGATCTGTTTTCACTCCTGAAAGTCCTTCCTATAAAATTGAGTTACATTCCCCAGTTGGCTTTTTAACACCACTTTTGAGTTAGAGAGTTTTTTTCCTGGATGAATGTTTTAATGTCAGTTTAGATTCACGAGGTTCTGCTATCTTTTGCTGCAGTTGCCTCTCATTCCTTCAAACCTGACTTCTCCAAAGGGTAAGGAACTGTAAGGCAATGTAGTGCAGCCAGCTTTAACTTTGGGGAAAAAAAGGAAGCCAAAAGTACTTTCCTTCACCAGCAGTCATCTGAATGGTGATTGTTGGGTTGCTATTCAAATCCAGTTTATTTTACATAGAAAAATAGAGGTACATGTCTTTAAAAGTACAGAGATATTTTAATAATGCTGTAAAGTACACGCGAGGTATTTGCTTAAAGAAGAGCTGAAGATTCTGCTGTGTATCAAAACCTTTGTTAAGCTGGAGACAGAGATGTTTTTCCTGATGCACAATCCATATAAAAAGTCCAGAGAGACATTCCAAGTGGATCCACGCAGAGGTCTGGGAGGAGGTGGAGATTATTGGAGACAGTAATGAGTGTGTCACTCATTTCATCATTCATAGCTAATTCCTTTGAGAGTGCTGAAGCTAGAAGCAGCACAGCCTTGGTCTCAGTGACGCTTCTGGCTTGCATTCGACCCCCAGGTTTCTTGGCAGTGAGTTACTGTGTGGCCTGGGCCCTACAAACACCTGCTGCTGGGCACAGTGGGTATTGCTGCCTTGTCTGAGAGTCAGTGCTTGCAGGGTCTAGCCATAACTGTCACGTACCACTTATCACACGCCTTACAAATGGTTCCTGAAATACAAAGTAAAATCAACTGAATGCCAGAGCCCCCTTTTTTTTGCTTCCACTCTGTATAAGCAGTAGAAAATCAATATAGTGAGGAAGTAATATTGTACAATACAGAATCGTGTGTTTTGCCAATCATGTAAAAACGGAGCAAGGGAAAAGAAGCACATTTGTAATAGCACAAATAGACAGTAATTCCACTATTGCATTTGGCATTGTGTTTTTGAAAAAAAAAAATAGGTATTTTGATCCAGCATTAATGTATTTATTGCATTTTCAATCCGTTTAACTTGTTGCCTGATACTTAAGCATTTTATTTCTAAGGCCTTGCATTTTGCATATGACTTGATTTTTCAATGACTTCATATTAACTAATGAAGAAAGAACCTTTTAAAATTACAAAATCTTGTATTCGTTTCTGCTGATTTCCTCCTCAGAACTGAAATTCCATAAACAGAAGCAAACTTTCGATTCAGTGCATAGATTTTGGCATCTGACTGATGAATATAGCACTCCTGTCCGAGCAGCCCAAGGTCTGGAATGAAATTCCCTGTGAGCTCTTGGGGCCGTAGTGCTGCATGCTGTCGTGTGCCAGGTGAGGGTTTGGGGGAGAGAACATTGCACCTGAGCTGCTTCGGGAGGGTCAGCCCTACACTGCCACTGATAGTGCTGTGCGTTCAGAACTGAAAGGACAGCAACTGTTCAGGCCCAGGTTGGGCTGCCGTTTGAACAGCCCGGTCCTCCTCTCGTGCACACAAAGTGAAATTGCACGAGAACAGCACAGGAAGAAGATCAGGCAAAGTGCAGTTTTATGTACGCGTGAGAAGCAGAGGGGTAATGGAAAGGTGAATACTGCTCACATGCAAACCACGGACCTTGGGCTTCTCAGTTCCCAGAAGATCTGTTCCTCACCCAAACTAGTTCCCAGTGCCAGCTTGGCAGTGCCCAGCCCCACCAGGAGCCAGTTTGGGGGCACTTTGGTAAAGACATGGCTGCCTTTACTCAAAAATGAGAGCCACAAATTCGTGTTTTCTCTTCTGCTGATTTGCCCCTTTCGGTTTTTACTTCTAGATACTGTATGTGTAGCATTCTACAAGGCATGCTAGGTAAAATATACTATGCAAATGTGTACAGTGTTGCATGCTTTGCTCTCCCTCTGCTTTTAGTGGCTTTCAAAGAAAAAAGAAAGTGTTGTTATTTTTGTGATCAGAATCATTTAAAAAAGAAAATGCAGACTGCATGCTGTTAGTATCCTCATTTCTATGGATTTGTTTTATGGGATTTAGATGTACAAAAATGAACTGCATTACAATAACTTTTCTACAATAAATCAAAAACTACAAACAGCACTCAGAAGCCTTGTAAGTCTCTGTGTTCAGCACTCAAGACTGGGAAAATGCTCAGAAGAATCACTGATGGAAACAGTTCTGAATGTTGTGGCATTTTTATTGTTTGATGGTGGGTTTTGGCAGTGGTTCCTCCTGTTAGCATTTTTAGTCAATATCAGTGAGGCTCTGAAGAAAGACATGCATCTGGTCTGTGAAATGAGTGGTGTTTATTTTTAAATCTATCTGCTCTTAAATAATCACAGCTCAGAAGCACAGAAGTCTGCGTAACATCTCACTGCTCCATCAAGAAACAAAATCCTTCAGCCAAAGGCTGAAAGATTCTCATGACCGTAATGGTCTTTGGAACCAATCCTCAGTGTGACCTCATGTTAATTCAACACTTGTTCCTAGAAAGAAGCAACTATCAGAATATTGTGAGATATTAAGAAAGAAGCAAAACCAGGTTGTAATATCCTGAAAACAGGAAAGCACTGAAAGATGCTACCTTTAGCTAAACCTGAAAAGCAGTCGTGGGAGTGAAATTACAGGGTGAGTTCTGTTTTGGAGTTGTTCCACGGGGAAGCAAACAGACTTATTTTCTTCAAAGTGCATAAGCAGCAACCCAACACAGTGGCCACGTAAGAGATCCGGGAGCACTGTGAGCCAAGGCCTGCACAGCCAGACAGCACAGAGCAGCTCTGAGCCCAGCAGTTGTGCTGCTCGTCTGCCCTTTGTACCCACCTGCTGCTCCTTGCTGCTGCTGGAGTGCCACCAGGTGCTCCTTGTGCCTCCCCAGGCTGGCTGGCACCCACAGGAACCAGCTCTGCCTGCTTCACAGCCCTCCTGCCCTGGGCCTGCCTTCTGCGGGCAGAAATACGGGTATCAGGTAATCTGTGTGCTTGTGGTGGGAATCGCTTTAAGTATCTAATATAAATGCAGCATTTTAAACACAACTGAGTAACTTTGCCTGACTGTTCAAAAGTAGATTCTAGCACGTGAGTTTCAATCAAAGCTGTTTAATAAAGAGTTTGTGGCCTTTTGAATAAATAGGGCAAAAAATACATTCTTTTGTGTGGTTTAATCCATTCCTGGAAGTAGAAGGTTTGTGAGCCACATATCCTGCCTGTCTCTTCTACACGTTCAGCTTTGCTCTGCAGTTGCTAGGAGCAGACTGTGTGCTATTTGACAGAGGCTTTTTAAATTTCCACGAGTAATAATCATAATCACTACAAACTGTGCCAACTGCAGTGCTTCCCTAGAAAGCTCCCACCAGGAACAGCAGCCAGGTGGTAGCATTAGCATGTAAAAAAACACATGTTGAATCAGGCCATAGGCACGGTTTAAACCGTGACTGAACTACCAGAAGGAAGCAGGAGCTGAAATCTTAACATCTTCCTGATCCTGAAATACATTGTATAATCCCTTATCTGGTCAAAATGCTGCTCCATTTGTGCAGCTGTTGGCTGTAGAGAGGCTGCTGGCAGTTGGGTAGCATGGCAGGGTGCTGGCAGAACCAAATACTGTTCTGAAATGCTGCTTAAAAACATCAAACAAGAAAAATGCCTGGTGGGGGGGGAGGAAGAGGAAGGAAAGGCAGAAGAGCTTTTCTATTTAAAGATTCAAAATAACTGAGTTTTGTTACCTTCTTCCATAGCTGTGTGAGTTCTGTCTCAACTAACCCTGGTGCCAGCCCATGCGTTTCAGGATCACCTGCTGCTCGCACCAGGACTGCAAACAGAAATCCGCTGTGCACAACTGGAAGTCTGTAGAGACACCGCAGAAGGGGTGGCTGCATGCGATTGCTGCTGGGACTGAACACTGGTAAAAAGCACACAGGTGAACCCCAGGGACAATGGCACATTGTGTCTGGTTATTTTCAAGCTGGATGGCTACCAAAGTTACTGGCGCAGAGCATGGTTCATTTCACGCTATTAAAGGTGTAATGTGCCGGTTCATTACTAGGATGTTTACTTTCTTCAGCCCTTAAGGACTGAACATTCCAGCACAAAGCACGAGTGCCCGCAGATGCACACAGAAACTCAGAGACTTTGCTGGCCTTGCTGCAACTACAGTCAATATTGCAGCAGGGGAAATAAAAGCAAGGAGCCACTATCAAAATGAAAGTTCCCAGCACAGTTACGTCTATTACTCAGATAACTGTAGGTGTGTTTTCTTCGTTGGACCCACCAGTGTTATTTAACACAGAGGCACCTGTGCCAGCTGCGGGCCCTGTCTGGAGCTCTGTGCTGTGGCAAAACCTCATGCTGAAAATAAGCACTGCTTGTGTGTCTGACCTCAAGCCTTGTGGAAAGACAAAACATAACTGGCTGAGGTAAAAGTAACCTTTCGTACAGGCCTTGAGGCTATAACGCAGGCGGTGCTGAGCAGAAAGCAGTGTGGAGAGAAAGCCTTCAGGTGGAAGGAAAGCAGCCTTTCAAAGTGCCTGTGTGAGAAACAGCAGCACGGCTGCCGTGTTGCTTGGGGTCATCATCTATGTGTCCAGAGAGCTCAGTGCAAGCTCAATGCTGAAGGAACACTTGTGTGTTCCAGGCCCTTCAGCCTGCAGCACTGAAACTCTGCTCATAGCAACCAGCGCTGCCCTGCGTGGGGTGGGACCTGAAGTGAGTGGGGCAGTGGGGGGTGCTGAGGGGTGATGAGGAGAGCTGAGGGGTACTGAGAGGTGATGAGGGGTAGTGAGAAGCACTGAGGGGTGATGATGGGCACTGAGGGGCAATGAGAGGCACTGAGGGGACACTGAGGGTAGCTGAGGGAGCACTGAGAAGCACTGAGGGGTGCTGAGGGACAAGCAGGACAAGGGGAAATGGTTTGAAATTGAGGGAGGGGAGATTGAGGTTGGATGTCAGGGGAAAGTTCTTTGCTATGAGAGCAATGAGGCGCTGGAACAGCTGCCCAGAGAGGCTGTGATGCCCCGTCCATCCCTGGAGGTGTTCAAGGCCAGGTTGGATGGGGCCCTGGGCTGCTATGAAATGTGGAGGTTGGTGGCCCTGCTGTGGTGGGGGGTTGGAGCTTCACCATCCTTGAGGTCCCTTCCAACCCAACCATTCTGTGATTCTGTGCTTCTCAGGCAGCACTCAGGGCCACTGAGGGGCATTAAGAGGCGCTGAGTGACAGCGAGCCTCAGCCTCCCGCCGGCCGCGCGGTAGGCGTGGTTTCCCAAGGCCGCCGGGAGGCGTGGCCTCCCTTCGCCGGCACGGCCGCACGTCCTCCCCGCCTCCGCGTGCCCTACGGTGGCCGTGAGGAGCGCGGTGTGGAGTGGAGTAGAGCGGTGCCGGCCGGCGGCCTGCGGGAAGGCTGCTGAGCGGCGCGAGGAGCGGGGCGGAGCAGCGCGGGCGG